AATAATAATAATTATATATATAATATAAAATATAATAATAAAAGCAAGAAATAATTTACATATGAAATACATACAGAGATACATAGATATCTCACAGAAGAACAGAAATATTTATTTATTAAAATTTACATATATATTTTATTAGAGTTGAAAAGATTAAAATAAGTATAACTATGAACTATAACTATGAATGAAAAAATTAATTAAAAATTATTTTATATTATATTTTATTTAATTCAAAAAAATTCAAATATTTGAATTTATTAATAATATTGTTTTATTAAATTCATTTAACTAATTGAATTTAACAATTAACACATAAATTGCTAAATTTATTGAGATAAAAAACAAGTGGAAACCTATAGAATATAAAAAGTAATAATATATATGAATATATCTTAAATCTATTTAACAAAAGAGTCATTGAATATAATCATGATTAAAATTTATTCTAAGAAAAACAAATTTAAATTCACAAATTTAACAATGAGATACTATGAATTTTTATGTAATAAAATATTATTGAAATATATTGTATTTTTTAAATTAAGAAAGAAAATAAAAAATAAAAAGTGAATATCTAACAAGTAACCTGTAAAAGAACAAGGTAATTCATATATAAATGAATAAAAATAAATGAAAATCTGTAAACATTAATGAATTAATCTTAGATCATATATAAGTACTTATAAATACAATTTATGTATAAAAATCCACAGTTAAATTGAAATAAAGATAATAGGAAAAATATAATGGCTAACTACATTTATGACTAAAAGATAATTTAAACTGATATTGTATCAGATATGTATTACAAGTAGAACATAATTTTATTAATTCTTATTAGCTAATTTTATTAATTATTATTAGAAAGAATTATAATTTGAAAAGTATAAATTCGAAAGTTTGAATGTATATTTTTTTGAGAATTATAATAATTCGGATTGCTGTAAATTTTGAAATATTAACAAAAATTATTGATATTAGTTTATATATGATTTAGATATAGAATTTTCTATACATTTATATCGTTCACCGTTCGTATCGTAACAGCATTTGCGTTAGTATGCACCATTTATTTATTATTTTTTTATAAACATTATGATGAATAACATCCAAAATATATAACGAATGAACTAATATTATCATATCATTATTATCAATATCTATCTATAATAAACTTGGGCATTACACAGATCCTTTTTTTGCAGAATACAAAAATATAATTTCGGTCATTGTAATTTTGATCATTATAATTTTAATTGTACGAAAGTTTTTTTATTTATTTTATTTTTTACTCTGCAGATCCGAAAAAATCCGATGGAATGTCCAAACTTTTTATGGATAGATATTAACATTGATAATATTAGCTTACCATTATCAGAATTGTTGAATGAAGATAATATATTAACGTGATGCGATACTTTGACTTGGAGAAAGGAATACATCTAGTGATGTATTCATAATGTATCTGTCTATAGCATTAGCAATGGGATAATGTGATATCATATATTCTTTTTATGTGGAAATTTACTAAACAGAAATTGAGTCATTTTTATAATAAAGAAGTGTATAGGATATTGCTCCCGTTCGGTAATTCTGCTGATTATATATTTTAAATGTTATTATATATATTTTAAATTTTAAATGTTAAATATATTAAATGATTATTAGAATATGTTAGAATATGTTATAAAAACAATATAAGCGACGATTCTAATGATATTATATAATGATATACGTAAGATATTATGTAAACATATATATAAGTAAAATTCAATGTAATAGCAACAATTTTAATTGATATCAAGAAAACTATGAATTAATAACAAATGAAATAATATATATTTATATTTATATTTCATATTTGGCTGTGAATTATATTTTAATAATTATTAATAATAATAAAATATGTTATATGTTTATATAAAGAATTTTAAAAACAATAAAAGTGATGTTCTAAGATCTAAATAAAAAATATATTTTGTTAAATTGAAAAATTTTACATTCATTGCAATATATTATCTAGATACCTATTCCATTACCATTCCATACCCATTATTCTTATTTATTTTTTTTAATTAAAATATATTATAAGGAAATAATTATAAATTGAATATTATCAGTATTTTAATTAAAATTTAATTTTTTTTTAAGTTATAATTTTCAAGATATATGTCATGAAACGAAATGAAATGCATTAAAAAATAAAATAAAAATAAAATAAAAGTTAAAGATAATATAATAAAATGTATATTTTAGATATAATAATGATTGCATTTCGTAAATATTTATATACTATTATTTTGAAAGTAAAAAATTTTCCATATCTTCATATGATATCACATAGATGATTCTTGCCAATTATCATAAGCCATGTGTGAATATATATGATTTTGAAAATAATACAGGTAAATATATAATATATGTAACAATTCTGATACCAATATTTCTTAAACTAATAACTGAAATTGCAATTTATTACAATATTTGTAGATTATTTAATAAATTTATGTTATTTATATTAATTATTATATTAAAATATTTTATTTTGTTAGTATCAATTTTTATTAGAAATAATAGATGTAATATACTATAAAATATATTAAAAATTTAGTAAATTTAATTTTTATTACTATATAGTTAAATTTATTATAAAATTAATTTATTAAAATTATAAATTTATTTATTAAATAATTAAGTTATAATAAATTTAAGTAAAGTATTTGTTCATAATTCAAAAATGTAAGCAATAATAAATTTATTATTCAAAACTACTAATGAAAGAATTTCATTTTTTCTTTAGAAATTATCAGACTTCTCTATAAATAATTTTAAACAAAAATAACTAAAAATAACTAGTGAAATGCTCAATAGATTAAACGAACGTAAAACTACTTTAAATTATATAGTTCATGTTCCTAAATATATATCTGAATAACCTTCTTTTGAACGTAGCTTTGCCACGTGTATGTATCGTTCTTAAATTTTAAAATAAAGATAAAAATCGTATTTCATCAAATATTTAGTTATTATCTTTTATGTATTTATAATCAAAATGCCTCCTAAATTTGATCCTAATGAAATTAAGAAAGGTATATTTTTAATTTTTTATATAATTTTCTATATAATGTTAAAAAAAAACAAAATTTCTTAATGTGTACATTTATTTCAATAGTTTATTTGCGATGCGTTGGAGGTGAAGTAGGAGCAACTTCATCTTTAGCTCCGAAAATTGGCCCTCTTGGTTTGGTGAGTTTATATTTTATAAATATATATTATTTAAAAATGATACATATTTTTTTTAATATACATATTTACATATATATACATATTTTTTTTAATATTTGACTTAATATATAAAATATTTATAAAATGTTTTATTTTTATAGTCTCCAAAAAAAGTTGGTGATGATATTGCTAAAGCTACCAGTGATTGGAAGGGTTTGAAAATTACTGTACAATTGACAATTCAGAACAGACAAGCTACAATTTCAGTAGTTCCATCTGCTGCATCATTAATTATTAAATCATTGAAAGAACCTCCAAGAGATCGCAAAAGGCAGAAAAATATCAAGCACAATGGAAATTTATCATTTGATGATATTGTTTCTATTGCTCGATCAATGAGACCAAGATCTATGTCAAAGTATCTTAGTGGTACTGTTAAGGAAATATTAGGAACTTGTCAATCAGTTGGATGTACAGTTGAAGGTAGACCACCACGAGATCTCATTGAAGAGATTAATGGTGGAAAACTTCAAGTACCAGATGAGTAATATGGTAAGTTAAAGCTCTCAGCTAATATTTTCAGCATTATTTCTTTTTATGAATTTAATTAATTTATTGTATTGTCAAAATGATAAAAAAGTAATTCTGTGGTGAAAATATATGCTTTGAGCTTTTGATAGGGGTTAGCATCCCATCCACCTGATTAGTTGTAAATCTGCAAGCAATCAGAGATATTGCTACTGAGGAGAAAACCTCAATAAAAAATCGTTATTTAAAACATTTGATTTTTATGTATATTCATTTAGAAATAATACACTAAAAAAAAGACATATATTATTATATTAATAATAACTTTCTTTTTTTTATTTAAACATTCGATAAACAAAATAAGATATACTGACATAAGACCAAAAGATTAATTGAATTATTTAAATTGAGTGAATAATCATATTTATAATATCATATATATAAATTTTCTATAATAAAGTGCTAAATTCATTATTAAAATATTTAAATAATTTTATTTTTTAATAAAATATATATAATATACGCATATTAAAATATATTAAACTGAAATAATTAATAGCAATTTGGATAAACTAGGCAAAATATAATAAATTTAATAATCAAAATTTTAATATACAATATATAATATTCTACATGTATTATTATATATATAATAT